TAAACTGGGGAACAACAAGGAGGGTAAAGCCGAGGGCTAAATGCCACGATATACTAAGTGAAGGGAAAGGTCACACTCTAAGACAGAACACGAGGTGTTAAGAGTGGCTGAACAGTGATTCGTTAAGAAAGTGGACCGTGAAAAGGACTAGTAAGTAGGGTGTGGGAGGTAGGCAGGAAACAAAGAATATTCTCAGTTGGGAAAGAAACATGAGCAAGGATCACAGGGTATGAGCAAGAAATACGAGCAAGAAAGGAGCACTGAGTAATAATGGCAAAGCCAGGAGGTTAGGCCTAATTGAAGGGATCTAGGGTGAGTGAAGAAACTGGGGGGAAATCAGGAAAAACCAAGAAACTGATTTTTTTAGGTCTACGTATAGCTACAACCAAACCCAAACACCCTAAAATACATGAGAATTAATTAACAGTCATACCTACACTCAAACAACACTTTGCAGGAAACAAAAGCACTGCAGATTGTTTCATCTTGACAAAAATCTTCTTCTTCTTTTTTTTTTTTTTTAAGATTTTATGTCTTTGTTTGAGAGAGAGGGAGAAGCAGACACCCCGCTAAACAGGGATCCTGACTCGGAACTCTCAGCACTTGATCCCAGGACTCTGGGACCACGACCTGAGCTGAAGGCAGATGCCCAACCAGCTGAGCCACCCAGGCGCCCCCTGACAACAATCTTTTGATATAATTTCTAGATAAGTGAGCTGAGGTTCAGAATGGGCCTTCACACCTGATAAATGGCAGACATGAACTAAACCCAGAATTTCCCATCAAAACAAGACTTTTAAAACGAAGGAATAAAAAAAAAAAATTGAAGAGTATGATTTAATATTATCATAAATCTTACACTTACATCTGATTACATAACTAAGATTAGTCCAGCTTCTTGAACATGCAGCCTGATTTCAGAAGCATTACAATGTAGCTGTGCTCCTAAGTATGTGAAATGCCTTAATCTTAAGAAAACCACACATATCTGACTTCCTAATGACACAATCTCCCCATGAAGCTCTCTCCTAAATTAAACAGCAAGAATGTTACTAGATCATTTTCTTGTTTGATGGCTTTCCCCCACAAGATGCTTTCCTGGAGGACTTTTTCAATGGCATAGATATAAACATTAAGTAAATGGGAATCCTACAATGGAATGTAGACAATATATCAGATGAGGAATACTTGAAATAATCAGACACAGTATCCCATCACAACTTAAAAAAAAAAATCAATGATAAATACTGAATGTTCATTTTCTATATACAGAAAAAACCCCCCACAATACCCTAAAAATAATAAATATGATCGAAAAGTTTTGCATTCACAAATACTGGCTTTCACTGATTCTGGGGAGCACAGGCTCCCACATGTTAACATTTCTGAAATCGGATGTCGCTCACATCCCATGAAACACAGTATCTTCCTGGTATTGATACCCAAGTGCCCTTAATTTTTGTTTCCCTTCCCCAACTTCAAGGTTTTCCTCTAATAATATATCTACATAAACCCCTTTAGAAAGGCCGTACCACGTCACCGAGATACCTATAGGATTTATACAACTCCCCAGACTTAAGCTGGAGTTACAGATGAACCTTTAGTTTTATCTCTTTAGGAAAAGATTAACGTCCAATTCAAGACCACAGACCAGATCACGGATTAAGAAACAGATTAAAACAGAACCATCAAGTATAAAGTCAAGACACGTGATATTACCGATGATGAACCAGCGGCCATCAAGCTATACAGAAAGCTATAAAACCAGGTCATAGCTACAAAGCCCTCTCCAGCCCTCCCCACTGTTTCTCTGGAAAAGCAATCAATGTGTAAAGGCAGCAGGACCCAAAGCTTCCCTGCAAGAAGGCAAGTAAACTCGTGCTGAAGTAACTCGCACGCAAAACTGCTGCATTGTCTGCTGGGTGTGCGGGGTCAGGCTCTTCCCATCAAGTCGTCTTTGTGACATCTGCTCTTTGGTGGCCATGTTTTAACCCTTGTTCCTAACCTTCCAACCCTGGGATAGGTACTTCCTCTCAAGCCATCTCATTTTCATTTGCTTTCAAAAGTCAGAAGCCGTCTCCTACAATTCTGGCCGGTGAGGGCTCCGGTGAGCTTTAGAAGGAGCCGTCCGAAGGCTGCAGCCACATCCCTCAGCGAGGGCTGTAGCAGGACTGGCCACAGACGGTTCCTGAAGCAGTCCAGCATGCATGGGGTCTGGAGCCAGCCGGCCTGGCTTCAAACCCTGGCTCTGCCGTTACAGTGGCTGCTGACCAACTTAACGGCCCTCTGTGCCTCGACTTCTGCATCTAGAACTGGGAAGAACAGTCCCATTCTCCTAGGCCTGTGTGAACAGGGAATTAATGGATCCAGGTAACAGAGCCAAATCAGGAGCACAGTGAGCACTCAATGTCTGTTGGCTATCACTACCCCAGACAGCGTCCTCTACAAGGTGTTTGGGGCGGGGGGCAGCCAGCCTTTAAGCTGGAGACAGACCAGCAAAGGGCTGTAGTATCGTGTGGCATCTGCAAAAGGCATTTGTCCAATGGAAATTGCCCAAGGAAAGGGCATAGGGCCTGGGGACTGGGCAATGGTGACTGAGCACCACACGTGGAAATCTACATGAATACTTAACAGCTTCCACACAGCACTCACTACCTAGAGCATAAGGATTTGGAGGTACAAGCTAACAAATCATTTTTCACTTCCTTTTGGAAACCTTCCCCCAGTTTTTACTCTTGACTCTTGCTTCTCTGGGCATCAAAGTTCACCTAATTCCACCTGCAGAGGGTGATGACTACAGCCACAGGCAGTTAGCCGCAGGGGAAGGAGCAGTGACCGTCACTCCAGCATCCTGTCACCAGCAGGAAAATTACCAGTTTCCCTCTGAGCCCAGCTCTACTCCTACCTGCAGGAGATGAGAAATCCCTGACAGTGCTATGCTGACCTGGCCCATGCCTAAGCAAAACCTCACTCTTAGAAAAGAAAAAGCGATCAAATTTTACACAGTACCATACTTCCTTCAGGAGTTATGATTCGAGTCCCCCAAACTATCAGTTTCAAAAACAACAAGAAAATCAAAAGCCTCTGTCCACTGAACACACTGCTCAAGCACTGAGCCCTGAACTGCCTCCTGCTGCCAGGAGCTGCCTTCACTCAAGTGGGGACAGGGCCCCTGCCTGCACCTCAGTCATGGTGGAGGGAAGCAGAAAGACATCCACCCCGCAGGGTTCCAGTGGAGCTCTTCCATGTAGAGCTCAGACCAGGACAAACACATCACAAGCCACAAATCTCAACAAATAAAGGGTACCACACATCAGGGCACGAGAACCTCCTTCAAATTACCCAACCTTAATTGTCTCCTCCCAACATTTCTCCATCACAGTTGAGTTTGGGCACAAGCTTCTTTATTCTCCTTGCTCAACGATCACCAGTTGCTAACAAGTCCGTTTCCTTGATCACTGACTTCTACGGCAATTACACAATTCAACATACACTCTGCTACAAGTCCGCGACAAAAGGAAGAGTCATGAAGGCGTTTGCCCTAATTGAGCACTAAGGCCAAAGCGTATGTGGGTGACGAGAAAGCTCAACACATACAACTATCAAAACACACCTGAGTAATGACCACAAGGAAACCTTACAAAAAAAGATAATTTGCAACACCAAACTTTTAGATCTATTCAAAATTGTAAAGTAGGGATTTAAAACTGCAAAAAGTTCCAATCAGTCTGATTCAGTGAACAAAATTATTTCTGTGAAGACTTTTTTAAGGAAAGAATACCATTTTCAAAGTGCAACATCCCACTGAAAACACACCATTTTAGTTAGATTTTACCATTAATTCATTCAGTTTGTCAACAACTTTTTTGGAAAAGGGAAACCAGAAATTGAGATGGGCATCAAACTCTAAACAAGTAAGTTTCGCTTTACTCCTGGTAAAAACAGTTAACTTGAACTGTCACCCACTCAGCACACGGAAAGCAAACTAATATACTTTAAATGAATATGAAAAACCAATTATTTACATTACATAAAACCACCTACTTTCAAACCTCAGATCGTACACATCTCTACAAATTTCTTAAAGTGCAGTGTTACGTGTTCAGTAGTCCGAGCGCGGTTTGTCCCCCGATGTCACCCTGCCAGGGGAAGGTGAGGGAGGGCGCCGAAGGTCACGGCCGGGGCCGACGTTCACAAAGGGTGACAAGATACCCGAGCAGAGTCAGTTACTTGGGGCAAGGAAGGTGCATTTCCGGTACAGACAGAACCTCTCTACGACGAACAGTACGACGGCTCAGGGAAGGTCACTGCACCGCTGTGAGAACCGAAAAGCTCAACTTCTGAGCGTCTCACGGCTCCGCTATGCCCGCGGGAAACAGTGGACAGGTAGCTCCGCGCGAGCCGGGGCCGGACACCGCCCAGCGCTTCCCGCCCGCCACCCTGAAGCCCCGCAGCCTGGGTCCTGCAAGGTTACGACCAGGGAAGGAAGGAAACAAAAGCCAGCGAACTTTAAAATGCATCCCTGTGCTGAGAGAACCGAGAGGAAGCCAAGAGTCTCAGAACGTTACGCGGCGGCCTTCGTAAGGCCGCAGCCGGGCCACTGCTCCGGAGCCGGAGAAAGTGAGGCACGCAGCCCGTGCCACCCCCTCCCGCCACCCTGCAGTCGCCCGGCCGCCGAGTCTCGAGGCCCCGCTTTCTGCAGTCCCCGCCGCAGCCCCACCGAACGCGGAAGGCAGCCACCTGCGCTGGGAGGAGCCCGGGGCGCACCCCGAGCACCCGAGTCCTCGTGAGGCTCTGTGACCTTGGCTCCCTTATATAACCCCTCGGGGCCGCGTCCCCGGCCAGGGGCCAGACCTCCGCGCCCTCCCTGCGAGCGGCCGCCCCGCCGGCCGGGAGTGGGGGCTCCGCCGGGGGCCGCGCGTGGGGGAGGGGGACCCGTGCGCCCGCGCGGGGGTGCCCGACGGAGCCCGTCCGCCCCCGCGCCAGGTGCGCGGCCTTACCTTCGGCCACGTCCTCGTCGATGGCCCCCTTGACCTGCGAGAAGCACCACTGCAAGTCGTTGCCGCCCGCGGGGCAGCCGCCGCCTCCGGCTCCTGCGAACACACACCGGGCGCGTCAGGGCCCCGCTCCCGCCCCGCGTCCAACCCCCCCGCCCAGGACCCCCACCCGGCGCCCGCCCCGCCCCACGCGGGCCCCTCACCTGCCATGGCCGGCCGGCCGGCGGGCGGGCGGGCGGGCACCGAGGCGGCGGCGCACGAAGGAGGCGGCCGCCGCGCTGCTGCCGCCCGAGCACCTCAGCCCGGCCGCCGCCGCCGCCGCCGCCGCCGCGGCTGCCGGGGAGGGATTTTTTTTTTTTTCCCTTTTCAAAATGGCGCCCAATGCCCGTCGCCCCGCTCGATGACGTCATCCCCCTCCGCCTCCTCCGCGGGCGGGGGCGGGGCCGCCGGGAAGCTACCCAGCGTGGGCGGGGCGGGGCGCGGCGCGCGGCCGCAGGGGCTGCCGGGGGCTGCGGGGCGCGCCGACTGCGCCTGCGCAAGCCGCCTCCTGCTGCGCCATGCCTCCCGGCCCGAGCCCGGCCTCATCCCGAACCCGACGGGGGCGTCCAGGGCGGCGGGGCTGCAGGGACTCGCGGTGGGCGCGCCCTCGCAGACCAGCCTCTCTCGCGGGGTCGTGGGAGGGCTCGAGGCGGCCCTCGCCCCCCGCGCGAGCCGGGCCCGCCGCCGGTCTGAGCCTCGGCCAATGGGAGCGCGGTCCATGGGCGGAGCAGCCAATGGAGGGCGTGCTCGGAGGCCGGCGGGCGGAGCACCGGGGCCCCAGGAGCACCTGGGGCGCGCCGCACCTGTGCGCGTCCTCCCCGCCGTGAATGCTTCTTCTCGAACACCGAGAGCTCCCCCGGGATTCTGTGTCCCCCCTTTGACCGCAGCGCTGCACAGATCTCACGTTGTCTACCAGATTGTTACTTCAGAGGTTCTTTGAGTCCCAGGATACAATCTTAGGGAAACTTTGGGTGTTTCAGTACGATGTGACCCATTGTTCTTTCATTCGTGGGTGTCTTTCTCTGTGGCATATGGAGGGATTATTCATTTGTGGGTTTTATGAATCTGAAACCATACCTTGTTTCATTGTAAAGTTTGGCAGTGACCATATCACACCCCTAGAAGATGATCATTCCCAAATAGGAACATTTGTTCACTCTAAAAATACTATTTGCGGCTCAGCTCCCGCTACATACCACACGCTCGCTGTTCACCATCTCCGGGACGTGGCCGTACACGGAGCGAACAAAGCCTGCGCTCAGGGAGTTTGTATGTCTCAGGTAGACAGACGATAACGGAGAAAAGATCCAAAATGTGTAGTAAGTCAGATGGGGCTGGATAGAAAAGTGAAGCAGGGGAGAAGGGATTGGAGTGTAGCAGTAGGTGATGGGAGAGGACATCAGGGAAGTGGAGCAATCCGTGGGGCCATGCGCAGAAGGTAGTGCCAGGGAGTGGGATGGACTCCACACAGGATAGGAGGCTGTGGGGCCGTGAGCAGAGGGCGGTTGTGATGACGGGGTTTTAACAGGGCCAGTGCGGTGGCTGCTCTTTAGAGACTGTAGGGTCCAAGGGTCAGATCAGGGAGCCTCCTGACAAGATTGTTGGGTCCATTCCTGGCAAAGGGATGCGGGTTGGGTGGTCATGAATGTGCTGGTGGGGGGTGAGAAGAGGTCAGATTTCAGGGATGAGCACCTGAAGAGCAGAGCCCCTGGGATTTACAGATGCGGTAGATGCAGTGTGAGAGAAAGAAGGGAATCAGGAATGGCTGCGCTTCGGTGGGCTGAGCACCTGGTGGAAAGGAGTTTCTTGGCCCAGAGATGGGAAGGGCTGCAGAAGGAGCAGGTGAGCAGGGGCGGAGGTTGATTGAGAACTTGCAGAGCTGTTGCAAAGGCGGTTGCTCATAGAAGTCTGGTACTCAGGGAAGTTGGGGCCTGGAGGCATAAATTCAGAGGATGAGAGTGTCTACGGGCATTTCAAACCAGGAGAGACCGGGCGAATGGGGAAGAGGACCCCGACAGAACCCCGAGGGAGGCTGAGGAGGGATAACCGTGATGGTGGGCTTCCGGAGAACCAGAAGCACACGGAGTCCCAAGCCCGGTGAAGACAGGGGCAGGAGTGGCTGGCTCTCAACGCCACATGATGAATGCTGAGGATGGGCCGTTTGGTTGTAGCAGTTGGGATGTCATGGCTGAGGGGACAACAGCGGTTCCTGTGGAGTGGGCCATGCAAATCTGTTGTGAGAGGGTTCCAGAGAAAGTGAGAGGAGAGCCGTCGGAGGCAGTAACAACACCTGGCTGCGGAGAGGAGCAGAGACACAGGGCTGCAATCTCCTTTTCTATGTGTAGATTTAGCCTGTCTGCCTCTGGGTAGTCAGAAGACTAGCTAACTCTCAGGCTCTCCCACAAAATGCTGTTCCAATGTGTGTTACAGATATGTCTTCTGAAGCAATAGCACGGTGTCTGGCTTCAGTTTAGGCCGTATTCTTTCATGAATTAGTGATCATTAAGTTAGAATTAAAAAGCATCAGAGGCCACACAGAGGCGCAATATTCCCGAAAGCAGTGCGCTTGCCTTCCTTGCGTCTCCCTGTATGCCCGCTGATCAGCAAGAGATTTTTAGCTCTTTTATGATCTGAAGAGGTTTAAATATCTCAGTGAGTTACTCTGGAGTCTAGTTAGCATTTGGCAATTTTCTTGTTTTATTATTTTGAGATCTCATGGCCAAATTGTGAAATGCCTGGCGTGTATTAGAATCTAGCCTACTGTATTCATGCAAGAGATAAGATTCCATAATAAAAGGACTGAGGCAGTGATACAAGCAGGGATGTGACTCTCAGAAATGTCATGCTGAATGAAGGGAGCCGTACTCAAAATCATACACGATGTGTAATTCCACTTGTATTATCATGAGTGATAGTCTTAGGTCAGCTTGACTAGGGCACAGTACCTAGTTATTTAATCGAACATCAATATAGATGTTGCCATGGAGGTGCTTGGTAGATGCAATTAACACCTACAATCAGTTGACTTTGATTAACAGAGATTACCCTTGAGAGTGGGCGGTGGGGGGTGGTTTATCCAATCAGTTGAAGGCATCATGAACACATAACTGAGGTTTTCCCAGGGAAGAAATTCTGCCTCAAGGCTGCAACATCAACTGTTGCCTGAATTTGCAGCCTGCCATGCAGATATCACACTTGTGTGCCCACAGTCATGTGAGCCAAGTCCTCAATAAGAGCCTCTTAATACATACACGTAGATCCAGTTGGCTCTCTTTCTCTGGAGAACACTGAAGTCTAGAAGAAACTAAATGGCTCTACAGTGATAGGGGCAGGAACAGCCATGGGGTAGGGAGGGGATCGACTGGGACAAAGCAAGGCAGCTTTCTGGGTGATGGAAATGTTCCATATCTTGTTGGAGAAATGGCTACGCAGGTGTATAAGGCTGTCGGACTACCCATTGAACTATACACTGAAAGTGGGTCCATTTTATTTTACGTGAGTTATGTCTCCATACGTTGATTTTTAAGTCTGATTTAACATACATCTAATTTTCCACCAAACCTAACAAGAACCATATATCTTAATAGTTTGAAGGAAATCACAGAGGAAGTTACCCTGTTCACTGTTCTTCCCTGAACACCTTTATATTTTAAAATGTCTTTGATTTATTTAGATTTCAGTGACTACGTACCATTTAGAATGCTGAATGTGGATTGTTTTCAAGTTCAGATTTAGTAGCTAGCTCAGAGTGATCTCAGACGTGCCCTACTAGCAGAGAGGACAGTCCTCCACTGTAAAATGCATGGGATTTAGAGACTTGTTCAAGTGCAGGGAGTCCCGGTCCCCCCTCCGTGGGCTGCTCGGGTGGCCACGTGGGCTGGAGGGAGCGGCCGTGGGAAGCCCCAGTGTGTGTGTCCCACTGACCGTTCACCCTCATCATTCGATGCACAGCCGTGTCGTTGACAGAGTGCAGTGCCTGGAATTGTGTCTCTGATTCTTTTTTTAAAAGGACTCAATTTTTTTTAGGGCAGGTTTTTCAGGTTTACAAATAAAACGGGAAGGAAGGCACAGAGATTTTCCACATGCTCACTGCCCCAGCATCTGCACAGCACCCGCCCCCACTATCGAAGTCACTCATCAGAATGGTACGTATTTTACCAAGACGAGCCTGCATTGGCGTATCATTAAACTGAGGTCCATAGGGATTCACTCTTCACGCTGCAAGTTCCCTGGGTTTGGACAAATGCAGAATGCATGTGTCTTACGGTGTCATACAGAGTAGTTTCTCTACCCTAACAATCCCCTGTGCTCGGCCTGTTCCTCTCCCCCACTCACCCCTGCAAACACTCATCTTTTTACTGTCTACATAATTTTACCTTTTCCAGAATGTTTTATAATTTGCTTTTTCACTTTGTAACATGCATTTAAGGTTCTCCATGTGTTTTCATGGCTTGATAAATAACTTCTTTTTTATCATTAATAATATTCCATAGTCTGGACGAACCACAGTGTACTTATCCATTCACCTACCAAAAGACATCTTGGTCATTTCCAGGTTTTGGAAATCATGAATAAAGCTGCTATAAACATCCTTCACTCCACAATCTGCTGCCTCCTTCCTGCTGGAGCTCTGCAAGGCATTAAACTTCGTCCCATATTTTTTCTTTACTCTTCCCTGAATTTTTCTCCAAATGTTGAAGGGAAGGAAGGAATAAACAAAGGACTATGTTACAGTGCAGGGTAAAAAGGACCTTGCAGAAGGAATTACTGTTATAGACTGCCCCGTAGGAAGATTATCTGAGATTATCTGTGTGAGCCCCATTGAATCACACGAGTACTTTAACACAGCAGAGGACTTTCCAGCTGGAGTCAGAGACACAGGGAAGGGCAGGTCAGAGGGCTTCAGAGTGTGTGAGGGACGCGACCTGCCCCTGCTGGCAGGGACCATGTGGAAAGCGCTGGAAGGAATGCAAGCAGGCTGTAGGAGCAAAGACCAGTCTCAGCTGCGAGCCCACAGGCAAACGGAACCTTAGTCCTGCAACCAACCACAGGACCGCAAAGGGCCTCGGTTTCAGCCCAGGCAGAGAGCTGCCGATCTGCCCCCGGGGTGACTTTTGGCCTCCAGAGCTGGGAGATGCTAGACAGGTGTGGTTTTAAGCCATTACATTGGT